CTATGATGACCATTTAAGGGAAATCATGTCACTTACTGTTCTCAAACTTACAGGAAAGAAACATGGGTCTAACATACAGCTTCAATAGGCAACGCAGTCTGTTTGGTAAATTTTTCTGGCAATTTAACATTTTTTTGTGAAAATTTAATTTTTCACTTATTTGCATCTTTATTTTCTGTTCTTTGTCTGTACATTTGATAGCTTTGCTGCCTTGTTTTTGGACAAAATGAACAGTTCTTATTCCTTTAAAATTTCACCTATAGGTGATCTAAATACACTGTTTTCAGTTTTTATATAACTATAATATTATAGATTTATAGTCATTATTATTTTGCATGCTGTATGTAATCTGAACAGTCATATTGATGTTATCTGGTTATGCTTGCAAATCTAGTTACTGTTATTCAGGTTTTGTACTACAGAATATGTCAGTGCCACTCGGCTTAGTGCTAACTCAAGGTCTTTTAATGATTAGGTCATTACCCCCACCCCCCTTTATATATGTTATGATATGCAAGAATTTGTTCATGCTTTACCGAGCTTTGACTGGTTTTTATACTAAGTGAAAATAGGTTTATCAGTTTTGCATTTAAGTTCTGTATTTATACAAGAATAGAAACCATGTGGCATAGAATTCAAATGTGCACGTGGTGACCCCGAGCCAGAAGCTGGTGAACCATAACAGTCAGGTGAACGGCCGTGAGTCATTGGCGATGTCCTAATCAGGAAAGGGGTCACTGCTTGGCATGATTGACCTTGGCTAAACAACAGTCACACCTGATACAGAGGGAGAGAGGGAGATAGGGGTGTAAACCCTTCTATATACGGCATGGGGGGGGGGGTGTAATCCCTTAGACATATAGCTCTATATGGCACAGAGGAAGAGGGGTGTAATCCCTTAGACATAGCTCTGTATGGCACACAGCAGAGAGAGGACATTTTTGTTTGGTTTTAACAAGTACCTTCCATTGTCAGCATAATCAGAATATTTGATATGAAAGTCATTGAGCCATTTGTGGTATTTCACATGCATTTTGGTATCATATGCACCATGCAGGTAGAATTTTTCACTGGCCCCATTCAGAATAGATGATCCAAGTACTAACTGATCTGCCGACTAAATAAGGCTGACTATGCTTCAAAAGAGTTGACGCTGATTCTGGATGGTCTCCCACCTCCACACGCGCCGTCGCTGCAGGGGCCTAGCAATTAAACCTCGGAGCCAAGATTTTATCCCTTTAATGGTGCGTGTGGAGGCAGAGAGACCATCAGGAATCAGCGGGATCTCTTCTGAAGTGTGTTCAGCTATATTTAGTCAGCTATATTTAGTCAGCTATATTTAGTCAGCGGATCAGTTAGTACTCCGATCATCTATTCTGAATGTGGCCATTGTTAAATAAGGCTGTATTCCCAGAGCTTTTAGATCGATCTATCCCCATGGGGAGTCTAACTTGATTACTGTCAGATAATCCTCCTTAAGTGTCCGTCCCTGCCCACTACAAGCCGTAAGGGGCAATTAACTTTCGTCTCCGCCCGGCTGACAGCTATTCAGCGCGAACCCCCAGGGAGTTAGGTCGATCCAAAGTAGGTCGATCTAATCTACCTGGGGGTTCACGCTAAATAGCTGTCAGCCGGGCGGACACCAAAGTTAATTACCACCTTACAGCTTGTAGTCGGCGGGACGGACATTTAAGCCGGATTATCTGAAAGTAATCTAGTGAGACTCCCCGCGGGGATAGATCGATCTAAAATCTATGGGAATAGAGCCTAATACTACTAGTTATTGTCTGTCACCTCATGTATCCCAGCCCTATTGTGCTTGCACTTCACCCTGGGTCTTCTCTAACACAATCCTGTAGTTATCAATATTATAGGGTATTACTCAGCAGTGATATTCAATTGATAACTAAATTTAAGAATAGAAAGTGTAGAGCTACCATGTGGTTGGTTTTACAGGAATACGCAAATTGTTAAAATCTATGAATAAATATATTTAATGATTTCCCATCTTTTGTGTGTACATATTGGTGTATTCATTCTTCATTTCTTTTCTTTCTCCTGTATTTGTAAGTGCTTTCTTGAAAAAAATGATTAAAAAATATTTTTTTATATTAATAAAATAAAAGACACATTTTTGAGATAGTCCATTTTGCTTAACTTCAAGAAATTCTTTTCAAGTCTACCATCACCTGACTGTCTTGTAGAAGTTTTGAGGGCAATGTCTGTATTGATGGCAGTCTCGCTGTCACATATCAAGTTGCTTCTGTTGTGTATCAGTTCTGCTGTGGTTTATTTTAGTGGGGATATTTTGTCATTACCAGGTAAATATAGGTATGTTTGTGTCAGCTGTCACGCATGTGGCAAGGAACACTATGTCAGGCCATCTTCACTAAGGTGATCAGAATCGGTATTAAACTGGGTAATTATAGGAATGAGGCTTCAGATTGATGGTGAAGTCCAACGAGGTGGTGTGGTTGTTCAGCCTTAGCAAACGGATAGAGACATTTGGTAAGAATGTAGATGAATTGTGTCGATGTTTCTGGTGCTGGATACCATAAGAACTTGTGATGGATAGTGCTTCATAGATATTTAGGTCTTATAATACAACTGATAATATACTGCAACAATTGTGCAGTTTCGAGAATTATTGTCAAATCGTGCACTTTTATGAAATCTTAGTTGGAAAACTAGGGGAGGAGATAGATAAAGTCCAACTTGTCATGAAATGGCTTTTCTTTGTTCTGAAGACAACTTCTTGGAAATGTAGGAAAATTGATGTAAGCATCAGGGTACGAAACCATGACTTGGTGACTTATGAGAGGAGGACACGCAGAGCTGGTGGTTTTTCTTACTCTTCTACTTGCCGTAACAACAAATGCAGACTATGACAACAAATACCAGTCAGGGGCGGATTTAGGCCGTTTTCTATGTCTTCAAATTTTCAAGTATCTATTTTTTCTGTCAGAAGACGGTCAAAAATACAGGATGGATGAACAAAGATAATTTGGAAGACTGTCAGAAAATAACTCTGGATCCACCCCTGCCAGTGGCTGGTCTACTGTTGTGTTATTTTGAG